TTTGGGGGTTTAGGGGTTTAGGGTGGTTCTCAGGGCTCCATGGAGGGCTTGTATCGGAGGGTTTAGGGCTTCACGGAGGTTAAGGTTTAGAGTTTAGAGCTCAGGGGGCGTTTCAGCCTAGGGGTCTTGCGGCTTGGAGATTGTTCAAGGCTTCTTGGACTATGTTTTGTTGCAAGGGGCTGGGGGTTTCAAGCCTTTGGGGTGTAAGCCCCAAACCCGAAACCCTAAACCCTAAACCCCTAAACCCCTAAACCCTAAACCCCTAAACCCTAAACCCCTAAACCCTAAACCCTTATGGAACGGCTCAGGATTTGGGGCTTTTGGGAGTTCTTTTGGTTAAAACATGAAGGGTCTATCGTTGAATCACCACTGTAGTTCGTATAGTCAGTTACTTGGTTTGTGGGAATAGCGAGATTGTACGTCGTCGTTGAGAGGTTATAGTCAGTATCGTTATTGTTTACAGCTTGTGTGTGTGTGTGGGTTTGTTTGCGTCTGTGTTTTACAAGTTGCATCCCAGAATATATACAAAATTCACATAGATAATATAGACATATGTATCGCATCATCATAGAAAACAATATCCTAGAATAGAATACTCACTAGAAACCTTGCCAGAATCCTAAAGAGATCCCTGAAAGAAAAGCCCCTAAACCCAAACCCCAAACCCCAAAACCCTCTAAACCCCTAAACCTCAAAACCTTCAAAACCCTAACCCAAACCCCCAAACCCCTAACTCAAACCCCCAAACCCCTAAACCCCCAAACCCCAAACCCCCAAAACCCTAAACCCCAAACCCCCAAAAGCCCCTAACTCAAACCCCCAAACCTCTAAACCCCTAAGCTGGCCCTCGACGAGGGCCGACCCTGCGATCGCTTTTCGAGACGATGCAGGAGGGCTACAACATGGCCTCTCAGGCCAGGGGTGTCCGTTTGGGGGTTTAGGGTTTGGGGGTTTGGGGGTTTAGGGTTTAGGGGTTTGGGGGTTTAGAGTTTGGGGGTTTGGGGATTTAGGGTTTAGGGGTTTGGGGGTTTAGGGTGTAATAGTCAGGGTTCAGGGTTTGGAAGGCTTTTGCTGCGGCTGCTGCGGCTGATGTTGCTAATCTTGCTGTCGTTGTCGCTGTCGCCGTAATTGTTGCAGAAGTTCGTGCTACTCCTGGCCACTATATCAGGAGTTACTGCATCATCATTATGTCGTAGTGCATGTAGCATCTGTTTTCACTTCGCTGCTGCTGTATGTATTCTCGCCGCTGTTGCAGGCCGTCACATCGCGCTGATGGAGACTGCCAACTGAGTGCAGCCGCCCATCATCAGGTATGTCCAACCAAAGTGGAGCAGTTGGTATTTTATTTTGGTTGGATCCAAAGAAAATAACTTGACAAAATAGCATGGAAGTGCAACGAGATTGTGGCATGTCAAACTTGGGAGCCAAACAACTCTTGTTGCCCAAGCACGCAAACCACTTGTGTGCATGCTAGGTCCGTACCGTGCTGGCTTTGTACAGGACAGCCGGCAGAGTCATCGCAACCACGAGATGGCCGAAAGCATGTGTCAAAAAAGCACTTTGGCTGGGGCGAATCCTCAACGGTAAGCCCGGAGCCACAGGGTATCAGTCTCTGGAGGCTGCAATGAAGCTATGTTATGAAGCATTCATCCCGATGCGGGAAACAGGGCTGTTATGTAGCATCGTGCTCTATTCCGAGCAAGTCTTATACTTTCAATCATCGGACTTTTCTCCAGGAGCCACAAAGCGTTGCTGCAATCACTCGCTTGCCTGCAAACCAAAAGTCGCCTACAGCCCGAAACCATACAGTTTCTAACAGTAAAGAGCTCAAAACCACCAAAGCCCTCAACCCTGAATCGCAAAGCCATACCTAACACAGGGGCTGAAGAATTAACAACCGTCTGCCTTACATTACGAGGTCCCCCCAAAAAACTCAAAGTCACGGGAAACGGTGCGCGAACATTTCAATTGTTCAGGCCACTATATCAGATGCTAAAGACTCTACAGTCATAAGGCCCGGTAAACCCAAAGCCCCCATTCTTTACATGGCTAGCATCCGTAGAACTGCCAGAGCATGGTGCAAGTAGCATCTGTAGGTTTGGTTGCATTTCTTACCAGGACCTGGCAATGCCTTCTAAGCATGGTTTAGGGTTTAGGGTTTTGGTTTAGGGTTTAGGGTTTGGGATTTACAAAGCAACCCTTGTGGCAACCCTTATAAACCTGAACCCATGCCTTCGAGCAGTGGCCCTGCGGTGCTGCTGGCCAGGCGCGCATCGGCCGCCAAAGAGGAGAGCAAGTGGGGCGACAAGGGATCGAAGGCTTGGACCCCTTAAACCCTAAGCCCTAAGCTAACAAGCCCTAAACCCTAAACCCCAAACCCTAAGCCCTAAACCAGCAAGTTTGTGTATGTTTAGGGTACTGTAAAGTAAGCGCTCGAAAAGTGGAAAATTGGCTCTAGGACCTCTAGGAAGCGCTGAAGACAGATGACGATGGTGGTGATCATGACGGGTGGCGATGATGATGCTGATGTTGAGAATGAGACTGGGCATGAAGATGGCAACCACCCCCCCCCTCCTCCCCCGACTCTAAACCCTAAAGCCTAACCCCTAAACCCAGATGTACCTGACGAAGTTGCCCCTGGAGCTGGTCTATCTGTCGTAGCTACTGGAGTTCTTCCTGGTGACGTTGGCCGGGGAGCTGATGGTAGTGGGGTTGCCCGTGGAGCTGATGGTGGTGATGTTGTTGCTGCTGGTGGAGATGGTGGGGATGTGTCCTTGCCTAGCTCGCTACCTGCTGATGCAAGACGTCGTCGTGCATTTGGTTCGCAGTCGGACGAGGGTGGTGGAGGTGAGAGTAGTGAAGATGGTGAAGACCTGGAGATCTGATCTGGTTGCCTGTGCAGCATGCACTTACTGGTGACTGGTCAGTGTCGAGTCCTCATTCTCAAGTACCTTGCTTTGTGGTCTGTGTTGTACATTATTTCGTCTCACTGTGTGTGCTACTTGAGGCAGGCAGTCGCAACGACACGTCCAACACACATTTTAAAAAAAAAACCTAAACCCAATCGAAGCCCGCCTGGGTGGGAACGTGGTAGGCGTTCCAGGTTTCGGGGCGGTTCTTGCGGCTTTCGGAGTGTTTAGGGTCCGAGTTTGGGGGTTTGGGAATGAGTTGAGTCGGGAGTTTTGGGTTCGGTTTCGGATTGAGTCGAATGTTTGGGGTTCAGACTTTGAGCGGTTTTCGATGGTTTCTCTTTGGAAGTGGGGCAAGGTATGCCCGTTCCCAGGGATTTCCCCTGCACTTCCCAGGTGTCATGACAGCGTCCAACAGGGACCTCGCGACACGTATGCACAAGCAGCGCGATGGACAAATGGTTGCAGCTGATACCTAGACCCTAAACCCCTAAACCCCTAACCCTAAACCCCTTAACCCTTAAACCCTAAACCCTCATCAGTCCCGAAATCCAACGCTGAAGCCCAGACCCAGAGGAGAGAGAGAGAGAGAGAGATCTGTCTGTGCGTATGTAAGTATGTTAGGGTAAGTACACATGTACTCTGTCTTACCCTGTTCTGCTAGCTTCGGCATTTCGGCTGTCAAGAAACACAAAGCTTGGCATCCACCTGCTCTGCATTTGGGTAATGCTCTCAACTAGCGTCCTGAGTCTCAGAGATTCCACTGTCTACTAACTACCTATCTTCTCTATTGTAGTCCCTTTCTAGGTTGCCTTGCACCAGGTCTTAAATATAGAATTTGTTAGACCCAAAACAGGAACTTACAATCGACACTGCAGGTAAGGCCCCCTGAAAACTGCAACTTGAGCCTTCTGATGCCCTTTTCGAGCCGCAGCTGGTTCTGACGAGCAGACTCTCGCAGACCCCCCACTCCACACGAAGCTAAGCCTTAAGGGCTTTAAGCCCTAATTCCTAAACCCCATGTCCTGAGAGCGCAGATATCACCCTCATGCACCTCTGCCAGAGGCCCTCCGCCCCAGCACTGGAGACCAGCTCAGATAAAGACAGCGCAGCTGCTTCTTGCAGAAAGTTGCATGTAAGGCGGTAAGGACTAGTTATTTTTCAGGCTTCTGCACAGGGACCATACCATGTAAGGCTTTTGGTTTAATATTCAGCCTCTGGTGGTAAGCACACCGGAGCTTCCTACGCCATGTATGGAGGCTATGGAGGCGGCATGTACGGCCGTTCCATGTACGGCGGCTACGGGGGCATGGGCAGCATGTATGGTGGCTACGGGGGCATGTACGGCGGGGGGATGTATGGAGGAATGATGGGCGGCATGGGCATGGGCATGGGAAGCAGCTATGCAGAGAGCATGTTTCACATGACCCAAATGCTGGAGATGAACAGCATCATGCTCGAACAGCTTCAGGAGCATGTGACAACGACTTTCTACCGGCTTCGAGATGTTGGCGAGTGGATCTGGGCCTTGAAGAGCACTGCGACCAAGTCGAAAGAGTTGCCGGCACCCGACCCCTCGAAGCCGAAATCTACAGCAACGCCATCCGAGGCCGCAGACGCTCCTGAGACGCCTTTGACCCCATTCGCCTCAAGGGAGGACAAGGACAAGGAGATCGACAGGATAAAACGCAGGTTTAAGGCTCTGCTGGTCCTTTTCGGCTTCTTCCTGTTCTTGGTCTTCCGCGACAACAGGCGGCAACAAAGGCGGCTGCTGCAGCAAAGGAGCTGGTCGCAGAGTGCCGATGGAGCCATGAATGCAGCTGCGACTGTCGCCACGGCTTTGCCGATTGCTTTCGGCTGAAAAAGGCACTGAAGCACAGGCCTTATGGGATGTTACTTACGACCATCGTCTCTTGACCTCGCAGTAGAAGGGGAACTTGCATCCAGTCCCGAAGCAATTTTTTCATCCCGAAGACGTACTGCACCCGCAGCCCTCAGCTGGAGGTTCCCTCTCTGATTCTCAGTAGGGGATTCGGGAATGGGTTACGGGTCATTATGGGGTTTAGGGTTTTGGCGCCATGGCGACTACTAGAATAAAGGGGGCTGCAGTACCATAGGGATCCATTCCCCGACTAGATACATGGTTTTTATGTACCCCACTTCTAACTCCCAAAGGGTCCTAGGTACTGTTATGGGGGGGATACTTTCCCAAATCATAATAGTAACTCCTTATATAGAAACCCTACAGTCTACTATATATATATATATAGAGGTACTTTGCACCCTTTGGGACTAGAACCCGGGAGGTGCGGGCCTGAAGCGTTGACACGAGAGTATACGATCTGAAGCTCAGCAGCCTCAAGCCAGAGTTTTGATCTCTGAACCCTAGAATAGTATAGATAGTATCATATAGTATGATATAGTATAATATAGTATTATAGTATAGTATAGTATAGTATAGTATAGTATAGTATAGTATAGTATAAGTCTGGTTTGCGTTGAGGGCTTAGACTTTAGGGTTTTAGATATTAAAAGCGTCTTCGAGCCTAATTCGATTGTATAGGAACACAAGGGAACTGATAAGTTCTACACCAACTTTGCTGAAAGAAAACTGTCCTTATGTTCGCTTCTTGCCAGCAAAACCGCGCAAGCTCTCGGAACCCCAAATCCAAGCCCCAAAGCCCCGAGCCTAAACCCCAAAGCCCAAACCCG